CAATGCGGCTGATTAGTTTTCTACATTCACCAGTCGCATCGAAGAAATACACCGAATAAATTTATCGAAAAAAATGGCACTTCGCTACTTTTCTCAAAATTAAATGCCGTTTTTAAAATCGCGATTATTTTGTTAGAAAAAAATAAGCAATAAAAATCTTGTTGATAAAATTATAATAAAAGTGAAATAATCGGAATTTACTTGCGAATATGAAATTTAAACATTGTTTTTATGCATAAGGAAAAACCGTTTTTAAAAATATTTTCACACCCTGTACATCAAAAGCGTCTTATCATGAAACACCCTGTATAGTTTAAAAATCCTATTTTAAATTCGGTCATAAATTTTAACTTGACTTCAAATGGAGTATCCATTTGATAACATAAGAGCGTAATAACTCGCTAGGTAATTAAATTTAACTTGCTATCTTTATCGATTACTATAATAAGGTAACTTAGATATTTGGGGGGAGGGGGGCTATCTTTATCGATTACTATAATAAGGTAACTTAGATATTTGGGGGGGGGGGGTGGCTCTTTTTCGATGGCATTTTATAGCAGGTAACTTTTAAACTGTTAAAGATGCAGGGCGATTAGGCGAGATAAAAGCTGTGAATTTTAGTTGTTTCTGTCCTTAGTTGTTATACAAAAGTTGTAGCGACTTTCCAATTTTAAACTGCTACTGGCAACATTGCAATTTTAAATAGAGGTATTTTTTGTACATTTTAAAATTCGTTACAAAAAAAAACTAACCAATTTTATAATTGACTTTTGAGAAAAAAAATAAAATTGAATTTTTCCCAATTTTTTCACTTGTATAAAGCAATTCATTAGTTTATACTGATGTTTAATGTTTAATTTTGCTTATTACATCAGCCATTATAAAACTGGCTTGGGGTTTTTACAGAAAGTGAAATGGCACAAAAATACTGTTAAAATGTCAGCGTCAATATAGTAATTCAAAATTCGGACACCTGGTAGACGAGACCAGTGAATTTCGAAGAATCTCATTTTGAACGCTACAACTTTTTTGGGTTTTTGTAAAATATTTGTTACTCCCCCCTGCCAATTTTAATGTTCGTACCTTCACAACACAAAGCACCAAAATGTATGTATTGGTCTGTAACGATTTAAAAGTTACCCCTACATTCTCATTTAAAAAGTGTCCACCTTGTATAAAGTTTACAGCGTGTATTTGTTGGTAGGTTATTTAATTATTTTGTGATTTAGAGTATAAAAAAAGTCTATGTGTATTGGTAACATGGGCAGATTTTTTTGCCGCGTAGAGTACTGGAAATGCGAGGTTATCCTTCAAAAAGCGGAACGTGCCTCGAAATCTTACCATAACAAAATAACATACCGGCTTTTTCCTAAAGACCACACAGAAGGAAAAGTTTTTTTTTATTTTTAGCATGTCGATCTTCCAGGGGCTTCTGTGATATTACGCGATTCTTCACCTAATCAACCTACCTTTGTAAATAAATTTGGACATTAAATAAGGCAATTTTACGGCAGCACGCAATTTTTCGACTTAACGAGTAAAACCCGATTTTCACATTGCGAAAAGTTGTTTCAATTTGTTGCACGATATTTCGCACAAATAAAAACAAACCTTTAGCTTCCAACCTTCTAAATATTAACTTCGAAAGTTACTAAACATCGCTAGCCAAAAAATAACCTAAACCTCACTCTGCGATTATTATGCGAATTGTCTCATCCAAATAAAACACGTAAAATGTCGCGCCCTTCGAAATTAATTACCTTAACCCCAATATAAATTTTCGGTTGGCAACAAAACTACCAAAAAATTACAACTTCTAAATTGCAATCTGATGCAACTCGGTTCCTTGCACTTAATCGGTCCGTGAGGATGAACTACTTTTGTGGTCTCCACAATAATTTGCATCGTGTAAATCAGGATTTATATAAATGCTAATTGATTTGTACCATATAGCTATTAGGTAATATAGCGGCCCCATTTCACCCACTAACCTGCATTTTGCCCCGTTTTCTTTCTAAATAGCGATTTCCACACACTTAGCTCGTTTCCTCAGAATATTTGACGAGATCCTAAGCATATTTTGAAAAAATACTGATAGTCTGTCCGCGGCCTTGATGGTTTTTGATTGTAGCAACGTCATTGGTTAAAAAATGCAATTCTAAATCTCGCGCATGCGCCCGGCGAATGGACCTGTAAATTTTTTCATACTTGCTTCATAAGTTCCTGCATTATTGGAATAAGTATTGCCTCTATATCTCTAGTAGCTATATGGTTTATACCATAGAGCTCCTAGATATTGAAATTGTCTCTTGTGATAAAATGTCAAATTTCGTTTTCAACCAATAAAAAGTTGCGACATCCTCCTATCAAGATGGCCTACAGCTGTGGCATGTGGCATATTTTCGGCAGTATTTCCTCAATATATGCCCCGATCGCGTTGAATTATCGTTGGGAATACGTTTAAAGTTTAAAGAGAGAAAATGGCGCAAAGTGCAAGTAAAATATGGGGCGCGAAGGAAATCATTCCATAATATCTAATAGCTGCATGGTATATCCCAACGGGGAAAGAAAAACGAGAAAACAGCGGTCTAAATTGTCAAACGAATAACGTGTAAGATGGAAAAAAAAAAGCGTTGATCCCTTTTGCGTCTTCGATAAAACGGTTTTCGTGGACATTCCCACCACCTCGACGTATTCTCGACTGATATCTCTAAATATATTAATGCGTAGGTAGTAATTGGGTGCGCGTTTATGTTTTCATTTTCACTTCCTTTTTGAAGCAATACGAGTACGAAATATCCGTATTTTCGAGAAACTATCGTTTCACCTTATAGGGTAACAATTTTTTTTGTGCAGAGGTGTCTCTCACCCGGAATACGAGAATTATTTTTAAGAACCGTCATTTAAAGACATAGTTCCGTTTTCTTATTATAAGTTATACATATATTTATTTCCATTTTTGGTTGTATGTTGGTGGTTATACTGTGAAGGGTACATAGTTGCATTAAGAGTTTCAATACTTTCGTACGTTGAGTTGACTATTGCTTACAACATCTTGATATTCCCTGCCTATATGGCGATTACCATATAAGATTTTCACCAAAAAATGCCGATCAAATTGTTATTGCAGTCTTTAATAAAGTGGTTTCATAATTTTTGTATTTGTTTTAATTTACCGTAGAGCTATTATATAGGCAGCGCAGAGATTAAGGCACAAGTTTTTCAGGTAAGCGTAGACGACGTCTGGTAAGTATTGTGAGAAAAAAATTGTTTTTTGCACAACCGATAACAAAATTGTGGTAGAAATTTCATGTTCACATTAATTATCAAAAAACAGCATTAAAGGTTCTTAAGCATCCAAAAGCATCTTATTTTACGCAAAAAAAACATAGGAAATGTGACGTCACTGTCATCTTTAAACTAAGGAGATCCCGATACTAGTAAATACGAGTAAGTACTCGATACTTTTGATTCGATACCAAGTATTTATAGCATCGAATCAATCTTGCGATACTTACTCGGTATCGAAACAAAAGTACTTGGTATCAAATCGAATCAGCCTCACCATTACAAAAAAACGATCGCATCAGACAAGCATAATCTCTATCTAATCTGTGGTGACGCGTTGTCGCTTGTCGTCCGACTTCACTCGACCGAGCCCGAGCCAAACGCGAGAAAGACGTCCGCCATTCATTTTTTTTTCATTGTCAACCAATATAAATTGTCAAACATACAAGAGATTGCTTACGAACAATTTTATTTATTCTAATCATCGGCTTATTAGTCCAATATTATCATGGAGTTTTTTGTTTTAAAGTACGTGCTTAACGGGACGCAAACGTTTATAATAAAAGTGTTCTTTTCCTTCTTAATTTTGTTGTTAGTTTCCTTAAAATAAGTAAAAAAATAATAAAGTTCTAAAAGTATCGATATGAGTAAGTATCGATACTTTAGGAGTATTTATTTGAATAGTATCGAAAAAAGATTTGAATACTATCGAAATGAGTAGGTATTGATACTTTAATGGTATCGGAACATCCCTACTTTAAACTGGAATCACAGAATTCGTAGGTTGTACGGCTAAACTTTCTCAAAAAAAAAAAAAAAAAAACGTTGGTTCTATAGTACTTGGCTTGTTATTCAAAAAAATTGTGGCATGAGCAGCGCAAGGAAATTCTTCATAGCTTGGCGCCTCAATTTAATTGCACCATGCCACAACTTTGATGTAAAAGTGGAAACCCGATCCTGACTAACGGCCTCGAATTTCAATGATTGTAGAAGGGTTTTTAAGGTTAGGATAGTACGATGGTAAGATAATTTTTTTCTTTATATTACAATCTTTAGATTATGATGTGGGTGTTTTTATGATAAATTTGGAGAATGTACAATCAGCTATGAAAATCCGCCAATAAGGTACCGAAAATTAAGATAAAATACTATTCTATGGGCGGCATTGCGCATGGCAGATAGTACCTAGCCCGCACCTTACAGAATTCGTACTCATCGGTTAAAAATCTTTGTTATCAGTCTGGTTCAAGTTGTGATAGTTCTCGCTAGTGCTTGTTTGATGGAATTTGTGTACGTACAATTTCCCCGTTTTCGTTACTTACGCTGGATCAGCCCCGTTCAAGTTGTAGCCAGAGTTTAATTGTTTCTGATAGCAGCCCGGTGCGTCGATTTTTGACTTTGTAGGGATTTGGCAATGGAGGAGTGTCCCTCATAATTTTGCCCCACATTTTGTAAATTGCAAAGAAGATGAAGTTAACTTTCCTTGTCAATTCTATGTGTTGGGAATGACCAAAAATCCGAAATGATGACCCGGTTTTTTGTCGAAAATTTCGGTGAGATTTCCATTTCACAAAGACGCTCTTAAATTACTGGATAACAAGGAAAACTAAATACTAGAAATGTATATTTTTCTACACCTGCTTTTGTTGAAACGTGCCTACGTTACTAAGGGAATTTTTGTTACTTGAAACGGAAAATAAGGCTTCTCCTCGAATAGTACTTTGTTTATTAAAAACGGAACGTGAACTGGTAGAACAAAACATTAAATAAGGTAAAGTATCCCATCTGCCAGCATAACCTGGTTTTCTTCCGACATTTTTGCGATCGCCGAGTTAATCTCCGCTCGTGAAAAAGGAGTTCCGTTATTCCTGTTTAACATTTCTTCGACAGTTGTTAAACTCAACTCCTGTTCGGGGATTTTCAGGAACACTTGGCATAAACTCTTTTTGAACAATTCAAGTCTGCAATTAAAAAAATTGTGGGACAATAAGGTTTAGGTCCACCTTTGAGCCACCTTAATCAAGGCACACTCCAATGTCGCCTTAACATTTTGATTTTTAACTTGTTAAGAAGTTAATTGTGATATGATTGAAAAGGCCAAAAAAATTTTTGAAATATCTTCGTTAGGACATCTGTAATGTAATGTGGAACAAATTAAGTCCCAGAAGGGCTATGCGGTGTGTTTTATTTATACATTAGATTAAAAATAAAGTTAAGTGCAGGCACAACCATTTAATTGATCGAATGAATTTGATTCCATATTTTGAAAGTTGTGTCATAGATACACAAGAAAACCTAGTTTCGATTATATATTTAATTGTCTACCTCTGGATAGTATGTTTCGGGAGTGTAAGAGATATAAATTTATTTAATAAAAATGCTCTTATCATAAGATATCTCCTTTAAGTGGCAATAATTAAATAAGCAAATATCTACATATATAATGCTTGAGTTATTCTTGGGCTTCAATTGTCCAATAACGTTTCGATCACGAAATGGATCTTTATAAATAATCTGAAATATTATATAAATTAGATATTTTATATAAAAATATTTATACATCTTTGCATCATTTTTAATATAAATTGTAATGCATAAATAAATATATACATTAATATATATAACGTAAAAATCTTTACATACATTGTATTTTTTTATGAATATTGCAATATATAAATAAGTATATATTTATTTATAAATTAATATAAAAATATTTATATAAATTGCTGTTAATTTTAATGTTTATTCTAATGTATATATCAGTATAGACTTATTGAGCCATTACAGTATACTTTAGAAATAACACTATGGTATGTAAATATTTTTATATAAAGTATAAATAAATATGTAGGTGTTTATGTATGCTTCATGGATGGAAGTATGTGTACTGCTGTTGGTCTGGGAATTCAAAATTTTATATGGTATTTATACAATATTTAATTTATATTAGAGTCTTGATAAAGATTCAAATATTTAAAGAATTCCGATATTATCCAACAACTTAAACCCAAGAATGATTCAAACATTATATATAAATAAAATAAATAAATATCGATGGATGAAGAGTGATAAATCGCACTGTACCTCTCTTGGGAAATCTCCTGCAAAGAATCACCGTCCACCTCCATCTCAACATGGCCGTTTGTGTCACCAGTGTGCGGCATTTCCGATTCTTCCGTAGCGGTAACATTTGTCTGCCTCGTGCTTCGTGAAGATCTCGTTGAACTCTGGGAGGTGGCAATTTCTTCTTCCGTATCATCGCCAGCATCCGATCGCTTAAACGTTGCATTTTTTGTAAGTTTTTATATACAACAACATTTCGAATTTTTCGTGAAGCGAAAATATTTTTTTATCGAATTTTGAACGCCAATAAATATTCAAGGTATGCCGCAACTGTTATAATAAGATGAAAGACATGTTAAGTATTTTTGAACCTTTCTTTTAATGAAATAACAATAACAATTTTTAAACTTTTGAAATTTAATTTGGATCTGGCATTTGATGTTGTGTAATTTGGGCCTCCTACATTTAAATCTGACAAGCATCCTCTAACACGTAAGGTTGTTTATCAACATTAAAAGAATTAATAAGTGAAGGTCTCGGTTGTTTTAAACATTATTTTTATTAGTACAATTATTATTAAATAACAAACTCTCAAATAATGGTTAAGTCCATTTATCTCTTCCTCTTGGCCAAAAAACTTCCTTAATTCCTTTTTAATGACCAGCAGTAACCTTCCATCATTACAATGGTCCAGCTACCTTGACATCTGCATTCCATTTCTTTTATATCTTAGTGGAACCTTTGACCTTGCTCAAGGTTCCAAGGTTCCGACCTTGCTCCTCACTCACGACACTAGGTAGTCCAGATGCGAGTGTAAAAAATGTATTTTTGTGTTTAATTTCTCTAACATGTTTTCTACAATGTCTTTGTAACTGTAATTTCCTAGAAAACCTTTTATAGCCTCAGTGAATGAAACCCATGCAACCATTTCAGATTCTATCAAGGTATTCACAAAGTCTTGATCTTCCATTAATCGCCTTATTTGAGGACCTGCACAAATATCTTCCTTTAATTTTTCATCTGAGAGAGTGGGATTATTTCCATATAAGTATTTAAAACATGCTCCATCTTTATTTAAAGCTTTAACGTACCGCTTCATCAGCCCAAATTTAATATGCAACTGTGGTAAGAGAATTTTTTGAGGATCAATAACAGTAGCGTGAAGAATATTTTTTGATCCGGCAGTTAAATTAAACCTTCACCACTTCATCAATGTTGCTGTCTGTTTCTACTATCTCACTCACACAAGAAACAGTAGAACTTCACATATATTCACTGCTGATCTAGTAGTAGTCCCACAATTTTTAAGCCATCACAAATCATCTAATTATAGTCCCTGTACTTGATTTTCTGAAGCAGTAATTCCAACATTCCTGTTGTGCAAAAGAACAGCTTTAAGGCTTCTCTAGGATATTGTTCAAAAGAGCCTATAAATTCCGTCTCTCGCTCTCCATATATCACCAACATCACTAAGAGTATCTTCATCTATTTCAGATTCAGAAAAACTGCTGGTATCTTCTTCTAAATTCTCAGGTACTAGCACATCTGGCCCATGTGACACTGGCCTAATTGCAGACTTTAGATTCGGATAAACAATGCTTTTCTAATTTTTAGCATTATATCATAGTGATTTGTTGGCGCTCCCCATATCATAGGTATTCCAAAAGGAATTCCAATGTCTTAAACCTTCTTCACATACCTTACAAAGATTGATCACCTTTTTTTACTTTAAAATAAGCGTAGTAGTACAAATTACCAATTATTAAGTGTTGGTATTTTGAAAAGAAACTTATTAGCACAGTACTCACTAATCTCACGAAACGACTGCCTACAACAAACGAAGCACACGATAAACGTAGAGAAATTGATCATTTTTTTATTTATAGCAGAGGATAGCACTTTTTTTTTCTCCTTGTCGAAATTGTAAAATTATATTATGACGGATTATAATAGTAACTAGGCGAGTGTCTTTCCTCTATCATTTTCTATTATTTAATAGTACCGATTTACTCTTGTAAAAAACGAAGTTTTGGCTTACCTATTTATTTTATTTTTTCTTATATATTTTTCCTATATTCGGCCATTGTGTTCGGACTTTATGGCATTTGCGATTTTTTAATGGATGAAACGTAACTAAATACAAATACTATTGATTACCATGCGACTACCTACATAGAAAGGACCGTGGTAGCAGGGGAGAGGTATTGCATTTTGTGTTAGGGATTTATTCAAGTTTAGAATAATAGCAGAGTAATAACGAATTGGAGCGGCTTTGGATTGGTGGTAAGTAAGGTGAACGGCAGAAGTATTTGTTTGAGCACTCTCTATCGCCTCCATGCGCTAATTTGATTGCCCGCTTGGATGACGTTGAGGATGCTCTGGCCATTTTGATGCCGTAGTTTGATTGTTTGTGTTTTGGGGCAGACTTTAATGTTGATTTTATTATTATTAATACAGCTAGTAATAGTTATAAGGGTCTTGGATGTTGTTTGGACAAATACAACCTCGATCAGCAACCATAAAAGTAAATCCTCTTCTATAACTAACATAACCGTTGGTGGTGAAACACTTCAAGACGGATACAAAATATGTGAAATTTTTAAAAAAATATTTTGCTGATCTTGCTAACAATAGCAAGCAGCCTCAAAATCTAACGCCCGATATCCAAATACACTCAAGCTCGATGTTTCTCTGCCCTACTACAACAGTACAGATAAAACAAGTTTGTTAATTTCTATTAAAGATATTATAGCTCCTATTCTGTCATATTTAGTCAATTTGAGCTTCCTCCAGGGACGTATCCACAGGCCCTAAAAAACTCAAAAATCGTACCTATTTTTAAAAATAAAGGCAATAAAACCAACATAGAGAGAACTACCACCCGGTAGCTCTTCGATGTCAAGTGGCAAACTGGAAAATATGGACGTTAGAGGTCCAGCAAACTTATGGGTTAAATGTTACCTCTCCGAGAGAGTACAGCAGGTTGTGATCGACGGTTCAAAATCGAGCCTTCAATATGTAGGCAGAGGTACCCCGCAAGGATCCTGCCTATCACCGCTCCTCTGTATTTGTTTTATTGACGTTCTTCCTCAGGATACTACAGATGCATTATTTATTTGTACTGAATGCAGATGACACAAGCACTTTAGTTACAGATAAAAGCAAAGCTAATCTAAAAGAAGTCACAGAACCAAGGGTCACGAGGGTGAATGAATGGTGTCGCGATAAAGGACTACAATTAAGTACATAACATAAGGTCTTGCTCATACTTAATCCAAAATATTAGAGATACGGTATCCATTGACGTTTTAAAGCTGGTGTACTATGGGCTGTTCCAATCAGTGATAGGTTACGGTATAATATATTGGGCTCTAGCCACTGGCGCACACCGGGTCATCTTAGCAAAAAAACGTGCTATTCGTTACATGATGCGTGTAAATAGTGTAAAATAGGGAACTTTAGATCATGACAGTCATTATATATTTATTTCGTTTTGATTTACGTCAAAAGTAACATGATAAGATTGGAATAGGAGATGCGACTTGCACGAACATGACACACGGCAAAGAAATTACTTGGACGTTCCATTCTCTACACTGCATATCGGGCAACAAAACCCAAGGTATTTTGGCTTGAAAGTATATAACAGAGCTTTAAACTTCTATAAATGTTTCGAAGAAACTGATAGTTTACCTGTAATTAAGAAAAGAATTAAGATCTTTTTAACTGACAGGCGTCTCTACTCAGTAGATGATTTTTTTAAAATGTATTTTTTACATGTATTGTTTAAACACTATATTTTAATGTGATGGGACGTGCTTAATATACCCATATATGTGTTATATGTAGTATCAGAAAGCGATATAAATATCTATCTATCAATTAGTAACATAGCCCTCTTGATTAACTACTACGTTCCAAACTTTGATATGAGTGACATCTCTGACCATTGGCTGGTTAGGAGCAAGCCTCATACGTCACATCGAACTTATCACGACTATGTTGATGAGATGTTTATATTTATTTAACGAAAATCTAGATAATTTACTCATTATTCATGCTCCCCAGAAAACATCAAAGATAACCAAAGCTCCAGCACCTTGGTTTACTGCTAACTTGAGACTTATGAAACGACTGATGCCTTGTTAAGTATAAAAGATTATAGACTGAGACAGCAAAAACTTTTTACTATGGCTCTAAATGAAAAAAAAAGCTATCTAAGTTATAAATTTCGCTCAGATCCCAAAGGCTTGTGGAAGACACTGAACTATTTGAATATTAATGCGAGGCCTTGCTTCAATCCAGCCGATGTTTCTGATCCGTTCGCGTTCAATCAGAAAATATTCCGCTTCGTGCTGGTGAAGAGCAGGCTAATAAAGATGTGATTTCGGAAACTTGGTGACGTTTATTATTAACCAATGTATTATTACCAGCAAATTTTCCTCATGGAATGGGGCTAATATAATACCCATTCCTGAAATCTCACATTTTCGACCTGTGTAATGTTTAAAATATTGGAGAGGATTTATTATATATGATGAACTTAATAATCATGTTGCTGGTTGGAATATTTTGCCTGCCTCCCAATCTAAATCTAGGCTCTGGCACAGTACGAAAACAGCAAGCCTTGATGTCACTAATGACCTTTTTAGGTCTTGTTTGATTTTGTTGGATTATAGCAAAGCCTTTGATGTCTCAAATCATAATCTTCTTTGAGTTAAAGTTCTTCGGTTTGAACGACACTGCTATTGCTTTTATGAAAAGTTACTTGGGAGATCGCGGGCAGAGGATTACGTTGGAATCAGCGGTGTTTGACTTTCTAGCATTTTTAAGGGGAGTTCTTCAAGGCAGCATTTATTGTTCTCGATTTACACGTCTGATTATTCTAGGCACCTAAATAAATGTTATTCTCATCAGTATGCTGATAATATACATTACTGGAAATTAAGTTATTTAACGCCAATTAGGAACTATAGAGGTATATGCATACAATCTCATTCCCAAACTTTTTGATAAACTATTCTGTCAGCATTTTTCCTGGTATTGTAAAAAAATTATGTGTGACAACTAGCACGGGTTTTCTCGGGGTAGGTCCACTGTGACTAACCTGCTGACTTATCAGCTGGATCTGTTGGGTGCTTTTGAGAAGTCTAAACAAGTGGAGAGTGTCTACACGGACTTTTCGAAGGCGTTTGACAGATTCAGTCATGAGCATCTGGTTGAATTTTGTCACAGCTTTTTAACAGGGCGTACACAGTAGGTCCGAATCAACAATTATATTTCCAGCGAAATTGTGGTGCACTCGGGTGCGACTCAGGGTTCACAAATAGGTCCACTTTTCTTTAATTTGTTTATAAGAGATCTGAGTGATGTGGTTCTTTATTCTGATCATTTTGCCTTTACAGATGATTTTAAATTTTATAAAACAATTGAATCATTTATGGACGCTCAGCTTCTTCAGAGCGACCGTAATAATGTCAGTTCGTGGTGCAGAGAAAATGGTCTGGATCTAGATGTTGGAAAGTGTCTTATTATCACTTTTTCTCGCTTAACTAACACCCTTCAAAATAGATATATTATTAACAATACAACAATAGAGTGTGTCACCTTGGAGTCATCTTTGATAGTAAACTGGCCTTTTTGGATCAGCTGGAGGATATTGTTAACAAGGGCCTGAGAGGTCTGGGTTTTATTACCCATTGGTATTGGTTTTGGTATTAAAGGGGGGCGCCCTCGCGGGCGTCCAAACACTTAAGCCACCAGATGGGCCCGTTGTGCCCCCAGTCCGCTCTAGAGGGCGTCCAGAATACCGCCCCTCCTGTAGAAGGTCAGCAACTCCTTTAGCCCAATACCGTGCACTGAGTCCGGATCGATCAGGGCCGTTCCGAAGACTCCCAATCTTGCCCATGTCAAGGCAGGGCACTCGGTGAGCAGATGATACGGGGTCTCCTCCCCTTCCATGCACCACCTACACTCCGGGTCATCTCCAATGCCTAGCAAGCAGAGATGCCTCCTAAGCCTGCAATGTCCTGTGTAGGCCCCTGTTAGTGCTCTACACTCCCTTCTGGTCAGTCTAAGCAGCTCCCTGGTCCGAGGAAGGGCGGGCCCATCCATCATAAGCCTCGCCTGCCTCATTCCCGGAGCCACTCTCCAGCCCCCGCGGCCCGGTCTCTCGCCCAGGCTTCGAGAGGTCCCCGCCTCACACACATTTATTACCCATTATAGTACACTTCTCTCATCCGACTGTTTTAAAACCTCCTTGCTCCTTAGTTAGATCTACTCTGGAGTATGCATCAGTAGCGTGGTCTCCACATTACAGATGTCACATTGATAGATCGGAGACAGTTCAGAGAGCATTTCTGAGGTCCCTAGCATATAGAGCGGGTATAAATATCTACAATAACTTTCACATTAATTATGTTCTGGTATGTGAGCCTTTTGGGATAGATGGTCTGGAAAATAGAAGCACCTACTCCAATATCTTGACGTGTTATAAAATTTTGAATGGTTTCTCCGGGTCTCCTCCAGTCCATTGATTTTAACATCTATCAAAGATGTCAGAGCTCCCAATGTTTTGTATTCCATTTCATCACGGCAACTATGGCTATTTTTCTCCTTTAACTCCAACCTTGAGGTTATTCAACAGTTGCTCTCTTGATCCCTTTGCTGGCGGTCTTCGACTATTTAAGACAAAATTAAAACAGGTGGTTGATTGTAGTTGTAACTAGTGTGATACTGTTTATTTACTGTTTCTTACTGTTTTTGCGTTTTTATATGGTTATTTAAAAAGCTTGTTATCTAAGACGTTGTTTAGTCCTGGTGCTATTTATATTATATTTATATTGTTACTTTTTCTTTGTAAACTGGCTCAGTCGTTGAAATAAATAAATAAAATGAGGATCTTGAAGTCATTTGTAGGGTCTCCACAGCCGATGGTCTGATATTAAATGATTCCATGATTCAAGTTGTTCTTTTTACCAATAAAAAAGAGTCAACAAATGTAAAAACTTAGGAGTGTTTCTTGATAGTAAGCTGCTTGTGTATACGTGTATACCACTTATTTACTGGGATTAGACTTACATCGTGTGACTTTCTCTATTGGGATATGCGCACGTCGTACACGGACTGATTCTAAGACGGAAAGACCAATGCAGCTTACAAAAATCGAAAAATGCCTGCGTAAATTTGATCATATAACCCAGGCACTCAAGGATTCTCACTGGTTAAATCTGTTTCGAAAGGTATGTTGTACATCTATTTATGTTAGTGTATAATATTACTAGGTACAATAAGCCCTTGTATCTCTATGACAGACTGGTAAGAGGTAGTGATATACATAATAGGAAGACTCATCACTGTAACCAGTTGTATGTTCTCAAGCATAGTGCGGCTACATTAAGAGCTCTTTCACATATAACGCTATTAAAACTTACAATTCACTTCCGCTGGATATTATTACTTGTTCATCTACTTCTACATTGATTTAATGGTTTAATATGGTCATTATGTGAATTTAGTTGGACTTAAGGGCATTATATATTTGTTAGTTATTTTATTGTCAAATTCTGAATATTCTATCACATTGTGTCAATGGTTACGTCGAGCTAGACTTCGCCAACTTTATTGTGGAATGTTCTCTTTGTTATGTTTTATTAAAGGGGCTTTTTTTAAGACATGCCCTCCATGACGTGGCAATGTTTCGACTAATAATTTGAGAATCCCAGAAACTATATTTTACTTTCGAGGATTCCCCGGTAATATTCTGTTAATTTATGCACTGGCGTAGCAATTTAAATTTTTTGTATATTACCTAATGTTCCTATTTTAAAAAAAAATAATTCAAAAATGTTGGGCGATAGAAACAAAAAACATTGTTTTCCTGAGTTTAGTCTTCTTCAAAAATGTGAAAAATACCAAATCACAATATCTTTGTAAGACTGAGCTTCCAATTAAAAAAATAATAATTTTCATATGGTACACTGGCGCACCTCGTATATAAATAAGTATGAAATATTATATCTACACGTTGAACCCCATAACTTTTGAATGAAACTTTTTTTTCATTAAAATAAAAAAGTTAGAAGGGGGGCAGGTAACCAAACTCTGTGTAGGGTTATTCATTATATTTTGACACCCACCTCCAGAGTAAATTTTAAAAAGATAAAAAACAGGTGTAAATACAAAAGTTAAAAATTAAGAAAGTAGAACTGAAAGTCGTGGTGACAAGTGTCGTAAAAATATAATAATTTATTGAATGTGAAGTAATATGTTGAGGTCTTCATGAAAATTTCTTTCTATTGTCCTGGTCTTCCGTGTGACACTATTTCGGTCTTCAAATTTTTGAATTAAATTTTTGATTGTATTTATTGAAGGAACTCATCTACTCGGTAATATTTCTCGATATTCTCTTTTAACCCTTGCAACATTATGTCCGTTTTAATAATAGAATTTTATTATCTGGCGTTTTTCTTCCACAGTATAACCGACTTGAAATATCTAAAGTTATTTAACTTACGCTGCATATCTTTAGTTTTGATTAGTTGTCAAACGTTAACTTAATTGTTAATAGTGTATTACGCAACAAGTGCGGTAAACGGCATTTGACTCACGAGTTTATTTGACACGAGCGGAACGAGTTTTGAATAGGGTGAGTTAAAAAGTTTACTGAACGTGTTGCCTACTATACTTTTTCTACGACCGTTAGTTTTTGGGTACATTTTCGCAAAACAACACGAATATGACCATCAGAATCGACAAACGTCAAAATTCAAAGCGTAAAATCCCGGAAATGTCCGAAGTCGCTCGGATTCATGGGAAACGAAACTGACGTGGTAAAGTGACGCTTCCCGCACGCTAGATCGGTGGGTAATTAGGTATTTTACAGGCCGGAGTAGAAAAAATAATTGCAAACATAGATAATATGGTTGCTACCAAGGCAGACTTGACCATTTTTAAATAATATGGCTATTGTCCAGAAATCGAATGATAATTATTTTTTTCTACTCCCGTCTGTAAAATACCTAACTGCCCACCGATCTAGCACAAAAATCTTCAAACTTTTGCATTTACATTTTTTTTCTATTATTCAAAATTGGGTGTCAAAATATAATGAATAACCCAGTACTCCTCCGAATTCTGCTTTGCTAAAAAATGCTTACGTGTCTGGTCCTCTTTGGTCGTCGTTGATTGCCGTCGTCGTCGTCGTCGTCATCGTCGTCGGTGTCGGTACCTTCGTCGCCCGCTCTCCGCCTCTTCTTTTCTTTTTCCAACACTTTTTTAAAGTACGCGTACTGAATCAGTTCGATTGCGGAGCGGGCGTCCTCTGCCGTTACGGTTCGGGACATTCTGGCCTTCGCGTGCGCAGTCGAAAGACGTATCATCGTTTCCAATGCGCGAGCCGTTACCGACTGGGTCTGCCAAACGCACGTATTATATTAAATTTGGGAAAAGAAGCATTTCTTTAACAAAAAAAAAAAGAATTTATTGTAGTTACATAGCGCTACGTTTCTAAATATGTACACGGTGATTCATTTAAGATGCTCCTATATATTCATATGCCTTTATATTTCCATACAGGGTGTTTTCCAATTGAATATCAATATTTAAGGGGCGATTTTTGGGTCCATTTTAAAAAGAAAACTTCTTATAAACATATGTGCTAATATCGAATTCATGAATCAAAATAATTTATTCAATGAATGTCAGCATGGGTGTCTACGGGGAAAATCCACATTTTTTTTAATTTTGTAACTTGTGTTCTACGTGAGCGGCAGAGGGGAAACCTTTCCTTAGGCTTCTTTTTTGACTTGACAAAAGCACATGATACCCTCGACTCTAGACTACGATATTTTATTCAAGAAACTGTATCAACATGGTATCCGTGCGGTGACGCTAAAGTGGATCAAATCATATCTAAGAAGTAGAATGCAACAAGTAGCCATATGTACTGGCTTGGATAGAATTGTATCTAGCCCTGCTTCTGTCTCATTGGGAATTTATTCTATTTTATTTCTACTTTACATAAATAATATAACAGAATTACTTACAACAGAAGAAAATTGTAAAATAACGAACTATGCTGACGATACAAGTTTGCTATTAGTGAATAATGATAATGAGGACAGTTGAACATTGGTTTAATAAAAACAAATTGGTTGTTAATAATAACAAAACAAATGTAGTACTATTCAAGACGAACAAGAGCAAAGTAGCTGAACCAAAAACGATAAAGACCAATGGCTGTGAAATAGATCTAAGCAATAAGATCAAATTCTTGGGGATGTTCTTGGACAATATGTTAACTTGGGAATTCCACGTTAGTTATGTTGTGGGTAAATTAAACAAGATTGTTTTCGAAAAATCGTCACTGGGTGCGGCAAGTTCATAGCGCATAGCGCGAAGCAGCTTTTTATTATAAAAGTAAGGAGCTGCGGACCACTATGGAACTTTCGCAAAATCGATGTAATTTAATTGTGCATGCAGCCTGTATAAAATGTCCTTTACATCTCGTCCAACTTCAAAGTTACAGCACACATCGGTAACTATTAAAATTTGCACAAATAATAGCGTTGTCGCGCCCTGTATAATTGGCGAAACCTGAAACTCTTTCCCGACACAGTTTACGATTCTGTTCAAATAAAATTGTTCCATCTTTAACGGTTATAATAATAATTTACAACAAAAACGGAAATTTTTAGGATCTCTTAGAATTTTACCCATAAACGACACATCCTGTATATGATGCAAACAATGTTCGAGTAGAGGTTATAGCCCTGGATCTTCCACGTTTCCTGATTCAAGAAATATAGTAAATGGTTTTGGAGAAAATACGTTTTTTTCTGAAACCATCCTGCGCGCCGTAATAACAATGATGTCATCGCGTGTTGACAGCCCCCGAAATAACGATTTCAATATGGATTTTTTCAAATATCCCGAGCAGGGTATGTGATAGATGAAAACCGCAAATACAAAAATTGTAGCTCTTGATGTGGCCTATGACACCGTTTGAACCAATTAGCCATATTTTTTACGATTTTTGATTTGCGGCTAATAATTTACTCTGTAAAAGAACAATTTTCTAAGTTTTTTTAGATTTTCGCCTATAATTTGAAAACCCTGTATATAATCGAAACAATGCCCGAAATAAATGTTGTTGCACTGGATCTTCTGCGTCTGCGGGTTGAAGAATTTTGCCAATCGGATGAACAATTATGGAGAAAAACATATTTTTCTCGAAGCTAAAATTACCAAAAAAAAAAATTCAAACATTTTAAAAAAATACTTGGTAAAATTTGATTGGGCCCAATTTCTACCGTTTAATTGTGGACACGGACTTTTACTCCTCTGCTAAATTTGAAGTTGATATCTGCAAATTTAGGACACTTAACACATTTCTCATTTAGCACGGAATATTGGGAACACCCTGTACAATAGGTGTCTATGCGGGCTATAACGCAATATAAAAGAAACTGAGGTCTGAATCATAGTCTTTCAGTTATGAACAAATTTCAATAATAGGAGGACCCATAATAAAAAACATAAGAGAATAAAAGTTTACAGAGCCGTGTGTTCTGCTTCTTCTAGATAACAAGGTATATATGTTTCAGGTTCCAAAAAACTACATCGGCATAGATACTAAAAAGATGCTAATGAAAGTCACATTAGATATGGAATACTGCTGTATGGGAGTTGCAGAGACATTGAAAAAATATTTATAGTACAAAAGTGTACAATTAGAACACTTATAGAGGAGAGGAAAGTTCAAAGAACTTAATGTCTTAACAGTAACTGAAGTGTTCATACAGGAGTGCGTCGTGTACTTTTTAAAAAGTAGATCCTTTTTTACTCCTAATGAATCACAAACTGTTGATGCAACACGCACACAGAATTTTAGTTTTCCTCACCATCGACTCACAGGAATTGAAAAAGGTCCTTATTATCAGTGCATAAAAATATTCAACCTCCTGGAATGGATACAGAAAATTAGAACTGTTAAAATCTTAAAGAAAGAAATTTTAGAATGTTAGAATGTTAACATACACTATGGAAGGATTTTATACCAAGATCACGAAATTGTAAATATCGTTATCTAGATGCTATTTAATGTATGTACATATACTTTAAATAAAGATCTATTATTATTATTATTATTACCTATACACAAATCTTTAGTAGAATCAATCAAGGCTATTCAACCGCGAGTAATTAGTCGGTAGCGTGTTTTGAAAATAATATTATTCGAAAACAAACCATATCCTTCTAAAGAATTGTTTACTGAAGCGAAAGTACTAAGCATCAAAAAAATCTACATTAAAACAGTCATCAGACTGTTAAGCCTTAACAGAATTCGTAAAGAAACAATCAGCCATTCAGCAAAAACCAGATTTGTATCAAATCAGGCCATGCCAGTACCAACGCTAAAATTTAGTTCAGCGCAGAGGAGCCTTCTGTTTGCAGCACCTAGAATATATAACGGCCTTCCAGTGTATTTGCAAAATAGGGAATATACAAAGATTAAGAAGCTTGTTGGCTCCTGGTTGTTTAGTGTTGAGTATGACATTCTGGAAATAATAAATTAGCTGTGAATAAAATTAAGTGGGTGATAAATTTAACAGCAAAGTGATTTAATTTAATTTAATAATTTTAATTTAAGTTTTCAATTCGAATATTAATATGAACTTTGCCATAACTAGTAAGTTATGTTGCATTAGACTGAAAAAAATGCACGAACAAATTTTGCAAATTCATTCCGCATTTGATATACATATTTTTTTGAATGTATTATCTAATTGCTGAAATAAATGTAATTATTATTATATATATACCTCTAGTATCACTTTAGATATTTTAATGAAATTTGCCATGTATGACTATGTATCAAGAGGCATTATTTAGTGTACCACATTTTTTTCAAAACACACCAGTGTCGGGCGGAATTTCACTTGTCCATTTTGACAGTCATTGATGGCACGCTACTGATTTCTGTTAAAATCAAAATTATTCTAATAATCTCCAACTTAAATAAATAAAATAAATTTAAATAAGAATCGTTTATTATTTATCTTGTTAAGATGTTATGTTTTTCATTAAAACTGTAAAAATAAAAAGAACAGTGTTCTATTTTTTTTTCTGAAGGACACATTTTGTTTTAGATAGAAATTTTATTTTTGACAAAAAAAAGTTCTCCATTTAACCTGTGCAGTGGCGACCTAATTAACCAAAATATTATTTGTTCATAGACAGTGGCACGCTACTGATTTAGTTTAAAAAAATAATGATATTTCTTTAGAAATAATTGGAGATTGTAAGAATAGTTTTTATTTTCAGAGAAATCAGTGACGTACCATCAATGTCTGCCAAAGCAGACAGAGTGAAAGTCCGTACGCCCGCCACTGGTGTATTTTAAAAAAACTGTGGTACACTAAATAATGCCTCTTGATACATAATGCATGTGTGCCAAATTGCATTAAAATATCTAAAGTGGTATTAGAGATATTAAAACAATGTATTTATTTTTTTTAAACTTTACCACACTGTATCTCAAAAGACGTTTAGGACATATATTCATATGAAGTTTTCTGTTTAAAATGGACCCAAAAACCGCCCCTTAAATATTGACATTCAATTAGAAAACACCCTGTATATATTATACCTTATCTCAATACGTACGACACCGAGGGAAAAAAAAGTTAAACACAAAAAGTATTTGATACTAAGTATATACTAGTATATATTTTATTTAGAGTATTTTTATACATACAGGGTGTTCCGTCGTGCCAGAACAGTAACCAACTTAATGTATAAAACATTTTTTCACTACACCACTGGATGCTATGTAAAAATATCTACCTAAAGAAGTTTTTAGCATTTTTCTATCGCTCAGAATTCCAAAATATGATACCAACTCAAAAAGAAATATTAACATCTCCCTATGGAGTATAATTTTACTTTTTTTTTTCAAACGACAGCTACCTTGCTATAAAGCCAAAAGTTTACTTTAACACGAAACTTACCCGTGCAACGTCATTTTCCAGCATCTCCTCGGATCTCAATCTGGAATACTCGTTGGCGATTATTTCGCATGCTTCATCGGTCAGCTTCGGTTTCAAAATTTTGACGAAATGTATATACTTTCGCATAAAATCGACGCTCAATATTTTATCGGTACGCTTTCGACTTGAGCCGTGCAACAAACTGTCGTACTTTTCGTACATCGGAACTTGCTTCGTTTCGTCCTCGTCGGGATTGTAAGTGCTCAATATGTCGACGGTCGAGCCCATCGGCAACACCTCTCCGTCTTGTTCCAAAGGATTCCTAAAAATCGTATGTTTAAGACCATTTTCCAATTTCCGGAAGGAATAAAGAAACAAATAGAATAAATAAATAAATCTTCAAGTGGGTATGCAAAATTCATAACAAAAAATTAAACCACTGTTAAACGAAACGTAATTTATATACTCCGTTTTATATATTCCGGGTATTAGGTACACACTTTACTGGTCCGGCCAAAATACTCTTGATTTTTCTTCAAATATTACGTACCATAGGTTATAACGTCTACTACGGTTATAAAGTGCAATATTATCACTATTGTTCTGGTTCTAAAATACGGGTGTACGCTAAAACCGGTAGTTTCCCGAAAAAATTGGGGATTTTTCATTAATCACTTGCGAGGTTTTCACTGAAACGTGCTTGTTCGGCCGGCAGTTTCTACATTGTTGTTCTATGCTAGCACGACTTTTTGAGTTTATGGTTAAAATGGCGGATCGGCGCAAGTCTTTAATTGTAAAAGAAAAGATACAGATTATCAGAAATATTGAGAGTGGCATCGGTACGGCGAAAATTGTTAGGCAAAAGAAATTGGCAAAAACCAAGCATCGTAAACCTAATAGGATTGCCCAATCCCACAAGACACGTTCGCCAAAATTATCGATCGCACATGGCCGCTTGTGACGTAAGCGAAGTCCTCTAACGGTTTTTGTGTATTCTGCCAATGCATATTTTGTGTTCTTTGAACAATTAAAATAATTTCTAGTGAGTAGTGCGCTTACGTTTGTGTTAATTGTATTTCTGTAAAAATAACTTGGACAAAACAATGTTTTTAAGCTTTAACAAATATTTTAAAATTGTATGTGCTTGAGTGGCGAGAACTGAGAAAAACAGTATTTTTAACCTTAAACGAAGACTTAAAAGTTTTGTGTTCGTGCTGCTTATTAGCGGTGTTATTAGTTAGGAGGTAAGCTCAAAATATTACACATAATAATATAGGTAAAAGTAAGACATACATTTCTTTTATCTTTTTCAGTGGGATAAGTTACATCAAAAAATAGTTAGGTATGCCTGGAACGAGATGTGCCATGTATGGGTGCAATAACAACTATTTTGATGAAAAAGCAAGTTCTCGAAAATGTAGTTTTCATCACTTTCCCAAAAGGAAAGATCTAGTATCCCGAACTATTCGGAAGGAGGGGATAGTTCGATGAAGAAGAGAGGACAAACTTAATCCAGATAAAAGATATGTGTGCTCAGTTCATTTTACTGAAAATTATTACGAAAGAGACTTACAAAATGAGTTATTAGGTTTTTTTTGTCTTGAGTAACACATTAAATTCACCACAAAATTTTAATTTTAGATTTACCTTTAAAAAAGATTCTAAAAAAAACTGCTGTTCCCACCCTATTACTATTTAACCAGAAGCGACCAACAGAAGCAGGATTACCTAGATCAAAAAGACTTCATTCCAAAAATGCCAAAAAAGAAGCTCAGCAAGTATTGTCTGAGCTTTTAGCAACAACATCAAATGCGACAAGCGAAATTCTAGAGAAAAATTCATCTCCAGAACCCATCTCCGAACCCCAAATATTAAATTATAAAGCTAAGTATGATACCAGCAGAAAAGAAATTAGAAAGTATGGTAAAATTGTAAAATAAAAAGTATATGCAGTAATAAGTATTTTTTATATTATGTACATACGAGGGTACATATAAATACATATTATTATTTACCTACCACCTATAAATAGTTGCCTAATATATATTTTGTTTTTAATATTTTTTGATATATCCAAAAATAGGGATTTCTAGTTCATAAGTATTTGTTGATTTTTATATATTTAAAATGGTAGAATGCCGTAAAACACAAAGTTCTACAAGTAAATCGTTTTGTTCGCTAGTTTTATGTATTTATGTGTAACAATATTTAATTAATATATGTATTTCAAGATAATACATTAAGTCAAACTTGATTGCTATAGTTTTATTTTTACCCTACCTGAGACCCTACCCTACGCTACTTCCCAATAATTATTAAATAAGTACTAAAACGATTTAATGTTGACATTAAATGAAAATAACGAGTGATTATCCAAACAAAATGCTCTATTAGCTACTCAAAATACTCAAAGTCCATCAAAACTCGGGTCAGCTTCGGATTATTTCCATGTATTTACATAGTAAACGCACCAATACAGGACTTCACCTACGTCACAGCCAGCGAGAGTTTTCGCATTGGACAGATTTGGCGCATTAGGCAATCCTATTAGGTTTATGATTCTTGTCTTTTGGTAACAGTTAGAACTACAAATTCTTGTCCGCCCCGTTATATTACTTAATGCGTTAGAAAATTATGTCAACACTACATTTAATATCAGGGAGGTCAATTTGAGCAGTTGATGGTTTCAGGTTCGAAAATCCGCAAATATTGCAATAAGTAGTCCAGCCGAAGAATTAGCCCGGCGATTATAGGGTGAGGATTTTAGTTGTTCTGCAGGTTGGCTTGAACGTTTTAAAGTTCGTCACAACATAAACGTCGGAAAAATTTCTGGTGAAGCAGGAGAGGTTAACAAACAAGCTGTGCTGAACTGGCTAGAGCATAAGTGGCCTAGTATTGCACAAAATTACAGCTCTGAGCATATTTTCAATGGCGACGAGACTGGGCTATTTTACAAGATGACTCCAGATCATACCATTAAATTTAGAGAAGTGTTTGGGTGGAAAGCAGTCGAAGTTGAGGTACACCGTTTGGGTTTGTACAAATATGACAGGAAGCGAAAAATACAAACTTCTTGTTATTGGCAAATATGAACACCCGAGATGCATGAAAAATGTGAAAAATCTACCTGTCATTTATAGGTTAAACCAGCGAGCGTCGATGGCTTCAGCAATTTTTTATATTTACTTAAAGGATTGGGATGAAAAACTAAAACGTCAGAATAGAAAAATATTGCTTCTGGTTGACAATTGTACAGCTCATCCAAAAAATCTAATCCTTGCAAATATCAGATTAGCTTTTTTGCATCCAAATAGCACCTCAGTCGTCCAACCAATGGATCAGGGCATAATAAAATGCCTTCAGTCATTTGAAAATAAGGAACCTTTCAACATCACTAGCCTAGACTCCATAAAATTACTTGCACAATATTGGAATGATGTTACTTCAACCCCTATTTCAAACTGCTTTTGACATGCAGGTGTGATAAAATCGGAAGATGAGTTTGATTCAGACGATGACTTACTTCAGGGTCAGTGGTTCGAGAAATACAAAAATATTGACGACGATTTTTTTTACTCAAAAAGAATAAAGTACATATGTATTTTTACTTGTATGTTTCAAAGTTTATATTGATAGATAAGTTTTTAGCTTAGGTAGTTTGCTTTTTAGTACCTATAATAGAGTTTACTAGTTTTCTATTTTTTATAAAATAAAAATATGTACGTACCTAGATATAATTTTTTTTGTTTTTTTTTTATAGCGTACATCCGCTGATAGAGTTCATTTTCTGGCCCTACAATGTACTTTATAACCGGAGTTCACTGTTGTCTGTGTTAAATTCTTATATATACTGTGATTCGGCCTTACCAATGAAAAAAGTAGAGACGAAGGTGGTGATAAGGAAAAATATTTTTTTGTAAAAATAAAAATTTGTTGAGTTTCACATTGTAATAGACATAGTAAATAAATAAATGCTGCAAGTTATTTACACAACAGAATAACTAATAACTAACCAAATTCCAATAGCTATAAAATAGAGGCACCTTGTTTTTATTTTTCGATTTATTTTAATGTTCTGTGCCTGTCAAGAATGTTTCTTAAATAATTTCTTTTTAATGTTTTGTTTAATTTTAATTTAAATGTTAGTTCTCAATGCTATTCTTTTTTAATTTGATTAACTACTGTTTGCTGACTTGTGTAAACGTTTATGCATATTGATATCAATAAATTATTACTAACAAGAATATTATTATAAAATTCACCTATACATGTGCATTCTGACAACGTGATCGGATATTTCGAGATCGGTTCCTTCATCGATGTTGTCGAGCATGACGAAAAGTAGATCGAAACGAGACAACAGAGAGTCCTGCAACCCTATATTTTCCATCGGCGTTTTGTACTGGTCATACTGAAAAAAGGAAACCGATTCTCCCATAGAGGAAACAATAAAATGTGAGCATTTAAACTCTATTTGCTAACTTACTTCAAAACATAAATTTCGTTAAAAAAAGTTATTATTGAACAACATTGATAGTTTCGTCTTGTTTGGGTGAGAAAATGTTTACCTTTAGATGTGAATCCCGTTGCTTGAGGAATAAGTCATAATTTCTGGAAACCGAGCCAGAATTTTTTACTTAATTTAGAATTTCTGCGACATAAGTCATAAATTCTGGAAAACAAGAAAGAATTTCTCTACCTTATTTCGAAATTTCTAAAAAATAAGTTACAATTTCTGAGAAAAAAGTAAGAGTTTCTTACTTAATTCAGAATTTTTGCAAAACAATTAAAAATTTCTGCAACATAAGTCACAATTTCAGCAAAATAAGTCATAATTTCAGCAAAATAAGTTGAATTTCTAAAAACAAGTAATAATTTCTTACTTAATTCAAAATTTCTGCAAAAAAAGTAATAAATTCTGGAAAATACATAAAATAAAATAATAAATAATAATAAATGAATTTAATAATAATTTTTAGAAAACAAGTCAGAATTTCTGCAGAACAAGTAAAATTTCTGTAAAATGAGTCATAATTTCTGTAAAATAACTCGTAATTTTTAGAAAATAAGTTAAAATTTCTGCAAAACACGTCAGAATTTCCGCAAAATAAGAAAATAATTATGAATTTCTGGCAAAATAAGCCAGCATTTCTGGCAAACCAATTTAGGATTTCATGCACAAGTCAGAATTTCTGAAAAATAAGTAGAAAACAAATCAGAACTACTTAATTACTTCAACATTTCTACAAAATAAGTAATAATTTTTGACATTAGTTTATCATATATATAGGGCGATTCATAGATAGATAGATAGATAGATAGATAGATAGATAGATAGATAGATGGTTTATTGACTACTTTACAATATCATTGTTTGTAGCAAGTCATACAAAAGAAAAAAAAATAAATTGAATATATGCCAACATAAAATTGTATATAACGTCATAATATACTAAATCTATATATACAATATATATCTTCACAATAAAACCTAACAGGAAAACAAATAAAAAAATAAATTTATATGTATATAGCACAGAATGATCATTAAAATACAATCAATGAACAACGCCTCGCAACACGTCATTACCGATGTTTTCTTCAAAAAATTCACCAACGGTATATTACTTAGAAGAAAACTTTTAATTTTATATTTAAAATGTTTTTCGTTTAAAATATTGTGGCAATGCGTTATAAAGTTTTATATAAGGAGAGTTTTGTTTTGATTTCTGGAACCTGTATCTCGGAAGCAAGAGATTATTCGCACTCCGGGTGTCATACCTATGAGAATCAGGACCCCTCGGCAAACTATCGGTCTTGGAGTGTATCTCTAGAACACTTTGAAATATAAATATACATGGAACCGTCATTATTTTATGTTTAATAAACAATGGCTTACAGTGTTTGTTAAAATTTGAATTTGTAATTATCCGTAGTGCCTTTTCAATATTTTAATGGCATAAGAGGAATTACCCCACAGCATGGTGGCATAGCTTATACACGATTGAAATAAACTAAAGTAAGTAAGAAAATGAATATTTGAAAGATTTTTACTTAGCTCGCCAATGTGTTCTGACTAATTCATCCAAGGTAACGCCCAGGATCTTGCATCCCTTGCCACATGTCAACCTGCTGCTACTAGACACTAATAAATTCTTCGTTTTAGCTTCATTAAGTTTTAGATTACTTGCTGAAAACCATGCTTTGGCATTAGATAAAGTATATGTTTTAATATTTACTCAGGATAGTGATGTTCCTGTTTAATAAACGTTGTGTCGTTCGCAAACAGCACAATCTCAGTGTTAGGCATCATGTACTGGCAAATATCATTTATGTATATAATAAAAAGGAAGGGTCCCAGAACGGAGCCCTGGGGTACTCCAAACTCAAAGCAAGCCAAATCAGACTTATTGTTATTTACTCTCACAAACTGTTGCCTACCTGTTAAATAGGACTTCAAAAGTTTTGAGTGGAACACCACCAACTCCATAAAATTCAAGCTTGCTCAAGAGATTCTGATGAGAAACACAGTCGAAAGCCTTTGAGAGGTTGCACTGTAAAATCATTAAGTGTTCTCCTCTTTCCAGGCCACGGACTATGTCCTTCACCACCCTGATCAAAACTCTGGCGAAGATTTTTTTATATTATTTGCAATTCCACTAAAATACCTATTAAAGTGACCTGGTAATAAAGTTGGCCCAACTCAGTGCATGTCCCGATTATTTCTGTTTAGTTCAAAATTAAAGAATGGACAATCTGGAAACTGAGCTCAATGTGCATCGTACAAACGTCGCTGGTCTCGGAGATACAGTGTGTTCGAAGATTAAAATTTTATCATGAATTTTCCCATTAGATGAGAAAGTTTTTATAGTATAATAATTAAAATTGCCAGTTTTAGGCTTTTTTAAATAAATCGAATCATTCTTTTTATTTGTTGGGTTATACTTGAAACATGATGAAAATCTGAAGAATATTCAATTTTTCACAGATAACATGCTCTTCTAGCTAGGTCGATTTCTGATTAATTTGCCATAATTGAATAATAACAATTTTAAAGATTACCCATTCTTTATGAAGCACGCTGTATGTGGTAACTGACTTATGTTTTAGAAAGCCTGACTTGTTTTTCAAAAATTCTGAGTTACTTTTTAGAAAGGTTGGTTAGCTCAAAAATTGATTTATTTTGCAAAACTTCTAACTCATTTTTCTGAAATTCTAAATCATTTTCTAGAAATTATGACTTATTTTGCAGATATTCTGATTTTATTCAAAAATTCTTACTTTTTTTCTACAACTTCTGCATTTGCATAGAAAGTATTACTTATTTTCCAAAACTTCTGACTGAAATCACAAATGTTGACATGTAAACTTATTTTCCAGAAATTCTGACTCAATTTTATTTTTGCTGATTTTTTGTTTTTTATAATTTTCATTGTTATTTGGGGTTAAGTTATTTGAATTCTGTCTGACTAGTAATCTTACTTTCATTGTAAAACGAGATGAGTTTGTAATGACAGTTTTAAAAGTACGATTTTATTTATTTTATGTATTTTCGAAAATAAATGTTTATCTCGGTAATTTTTTTCACTTCTCCCAAACGTATCCCAAAGCATATTTCAAAAACTAACTGGCGCTTACCTTCCCGTAAACCGGATTGGCAGCGGCTAAAACCGAACATCTCGCGTTCAAACTCGCATGGATTCCAGCCTTGGCAATGGTGACACGGCCTTGCTCCATAACTTCGTGTATAGCCGTCCTATCGATGTCGCTCATCTTATCAAACTCGTCGATACACACCACTCCTCTGTCGGCCAGCACCATGGCACCGGCTTCCAACCTCCTTTCTCCGGTTTCTTGATCAGTGGTCACCGCAGCTGTCAAACCGACACCTGAGGAACCCCTACCAGTAGTGGGAATGGCCCTGGGTGCCGTAAGGAGCACGTAACGCAGCAGTTGAGACTTGGCAACGCTGGGATCGCCGATAAGGAGAACGTTAATATCACCCCTTAAGCGAGTACCACTTAGTAACACTTTTTCTACACCGCCTAGCAGGAGACACAGAACTGCTTTCTTGACATATTCGTGGCCATATATGGAAGGCGCCAGAGATTTCGCGAGAAGATTGAAGATATTCTTGTGCGACTTCGCAAGTTGCTTACAACGAGCCACATCTTCCCTCGATATTTGCGGGACGGTATCTTTGCTCAGTTGTCTTATATTGCTGGCTATGACGATTGTCCTAAAAAGGGTACCTTTCAACAACAACGACCATTCATAAAGGGAGCGTTTAACTTTGAGCTTAAAATATTGTCTATCCTATCTTTAAAACCTGGTTCAGTTACTACAATTTGGAAAATGGCTTTCGTTGTTCCGTCTCCCACCTGAGACCAAAAATCATTATTCCTGCTGCCTTATAATACTTGAAAAGGTTGTAAAATGTCAATTATAGCTGTGCTATAGCTCTGCTCAAGATTAATAGTGATAATGCCTCTCATTTTGATCAGTCATTTTGTCGTCCTTCTATTTCAATATAAGCTGAAAGCTTTCGACAGTTTAAACCGGTATCTGCTTTTAACTAACTTTAAGAGCTTACTATGTGAAAGGCAGTAGGAAGTCAAATTAGCCAGGAAGGAGTTGCTGTGAGGTCTGATGCGAGAGCTGTAACGGGATGTGTTCCACAATGTTCTACCCTTGGACCACTCTTTTTTTTTTCAACATTCATAACCGAACTTTTTTTATTTTCTTTTTAAAAATTGGTATTGACCCGTCCTCGTTGTGTCCGTCCATCTTACTTGGTATGACGAAATCAACCACCTAGGGTGGTGCATAGACAGAAGTCTCTTTTTTCATTCATACGTGAATAGAATACGTGAGAAATCTCATTACAAATTCGAAACTAAAATATAAATTCCAAAATGCTGTTTGAACTAATGTTATAAAATTGCTTTCCGAAAGTTTGATATGCTCTAAACTTGCTATTTGAAATTATAAATGGATCTTGACACTCTGGTTCAGTTCCAATAATTTGAAAAATGAGTCTCATTACCCCCTCCTCAACAAAGGCTGCCCCAAGCTTCAATGAACTGGGACCGATAAGTATTCTTCCTGCTGCCTCAAAAATACAGATGGTCAAATGTCAAATTGTACAATTTCCGTCATCAACTATAGCTGTGCTACAGCTCAGCTTAAGATTAACCGCGATATTGCTAATTTTTCGAAGAAACTTCTACAGGCTACTGTAACACTTTTTACAAAACTTCTGCGTCGGTTTTTGATGAGTTCAACTTGCTGACGTTTCGCCAATCATCCTGTTGGGTTGTCAGGAGGAATCCAGAAGTTTTATCAAAAGAATTACTTATGTTATAGGGATAAATCTATAAATGTAGACTCGCCAAATATATCTGCTAGGTTTCCAAAAATTCTCTCATAATAAATTCTGCCAAAACGTAGCTCTTATTTGACTATCTAATGACATACAAAAAAATATCATATCAATCTATTCATTCTTTTTAGAAAATTAATGGCAATGGTAGCGGAAAACCCCACCTGGGGGCAAAGTAAGCAACTACAATTGCATCACTCATAACTATTGGAAAAACAATTTTCAACAACTCTAAGTTTAGTGAAAAGCGTTAATTCGTTTTGGAGATATGGACGTTTATTTAGAAAAAATATTCAAAACCCCACCACTTTACTTGCAGAGATAGAGCAAAACGCATTAAACAAAAAAGATTTGAATTTTTCTGAGCTTTAACATAGGAATTGAATTGAACCGATGTTTTTACTTGATGAAAATCCATTTATCAACATAAATAAGAACTAAAAGTTCAGATTTTCAATAAATTATATATTTTGACATTGAATTGTTTCGACAACACCGTGTGTCTCAAATTTTGATATCAGATATCAACATTTGATAAATACACGGTGTTGTCGAAACAATTGCCATGTCAAAATATATAATTTCGTGAAAATCTGAACTTTTAGTTTCTATTTATTTTTTTAAGATAGGAGTGACTGTAAGTCAAAGCAAGAAATTTTTGTAGAAACGGAGTTTTCATCTGCTTCTCTACCAAAGATAAGGAAAATTTTAGGATTTTTCTAAAAATACTCTGTAAACAATGAAGGGAAAAATCCCTTTTTGGTGATTTTCTAAGAAATGTTTTGAGAATAAACTCCTTAATATTTTAATATCAAAATGTAAATTATATCACAAAAGGGACTTAAAAAGGTCAGGAAAAATTTTAACCTGAAGGAGGATGGAACTTCGATTCAAATGGTGAAAAAAGAGGAAATATCGGTATATATTACGATAATTATATGATATGAACATTTTTCTTTAATTTTAAGTTGTTAAGTCGGGATTTCATTTTGACTATCTAATTTTTACTTGCAGGAAATTTTGCATATACTGGTGGCTATTTCTGAAACTCTAAAATAATTTTTAGCATTTTCTTTCGACGTATTTACTATATTTGTTTTTTTTTAATTTTAGAGAGGACAAATAATGCAAAACGAATTTATATCCTATGGTTTACTAGTTAACAAAATTTTCCAGCTATATATAACGAGATATTCTTTAAATAATTAAATTCTTAGAGTAGTACAAACTTTATTTCTCATGCAACAAAGAGTACATCATTTTGAATGTACTCACTTGAAAGCACCATTTGTAAAATTTCCCTGATGGTTCGGCAGGCACCTGTAATTTCCGACAACCTGAATCCTATCGCCAGGTTTGCATTTATCCACGAGATCGTTGTCGCAAATAATATTTACGGTCCTTGGTAGTTGACCGGCTGGCGCCTTTTCTGGCATTTCCTGAATAGCAATGGTCTGGTGATTCTTGTACTTACACAAGCCAAATTCCGTTTCCAAAATGTTATCATCCTCATCCTAGAACAATTAGAGTTACATTATAGGATAAATTAAAAATTAAGTCTACCTTCGTTGGGTATACAGCTGAAGTGGGTACCGCTTCCAATGATGTCAGGTCAGTATATTTTTTATCTGTAAATTTCTTAGTCGCTGGGCAATAGTGCACACTGCGTACGAGTTTCGGGTAAACGAGAGAGCCTTAAAACAACCAAATAATTTAACTAAACTATACTATAGCACAAAGCTTCTTACACTTGCTGACAATTCCTTCCACACATATTAAGTTACCCAGAAACCTACAGGTCAACGTTCTGGGTGTTACGTGCTTGCTACCGAAACTGCCTTCGAAACCGATAAAGAACTCTTCGTTTTCTTTAGCATATTCCGGATTCACGTGGGATACGTATTCTTTCAGAGCCCTCTCAAAACTTAACAGCTCCTCAAAGGCGTTATTAAGAAGGGAGTGTGCTCTTTTCGGGTTCTTTCGCCTCAGATCATTTATATTGACGAGCAACCGACTGCCCTTATCTGCTATCATTTCTTTAACTAGCTGAGAGTATTTACCTTGATCTTCCTGCGGAAACCGCAGGTGTTAACAACGAATTTATGCATTTAGAACACGGTACTTACTTCATCATCCAAAAAATCTTGGTATTCGGTTTGTAAATCTCGCAGTCGTTGGTCGATATCTTGCGTATCCATTTTTGAAAACAATTTAACAAAAACAACGACGCGATTTCTTAAACACAACACAAACCTCACCCCAGAATAATAACAATTTATAAACGCATTTGGCGGGAACTGCGTTCTTCCTCTTCTCCTATTGACAGGTAACATTTTTTCGCTTGAGTTCACCAACAGTCGCAGGACCATTTGGCCAACTTTCACCACTCCAGATTTTCTTCGGGAAATGATGCCCCGTATGAATGACCCAACAGCAATAAAGAAGAAGAGTTTTATGTTGTACATGTTTCTTGTGTTATTTATATTTATATAATAAATATAAATATAACATATAATGATTTAGAAGCATATGCGTTGAAAATGCCTAGTCAATTTTTGACGGAACGTCTTCGAGATTACAATAAAAATTCCAGCAGTTCTATGAGGATTTTGGTTAAATAGTGCATTGTTCAAGTGACAGTTTAAACAATTTCTTTAAACAAAAAATTGCACTCTTTATGCCAGCGGTTAATTCAGAAAGTGACGGTTCATTTTGACGATTGGTTTGATGTACCGGGTGGCCAATTATTGTGCCAATTATTTCCAAGACTTGAGGTGAAAAAAACAAATGGTCAAGAAGTTCTGCTCAAAAAAATTAAATGCAACGATATCACTTTTATTTCAACAAATGATAGGCAAATTAGGGTCTAATATGCTAGTGAAAACCGTATACCTTTCTTAACCTATAATATCGGGAAAAGAGAAAGTTGTTATCCTTGCGTATATTTTCTTATCTTTTAATCGTTCGCGTTTTAATCCATCGCGTAGATTCGAACAGAAACGGTTACGATAATTGTGACAATTTTTTTTAGGTTTTTAAACAAAGTAGTGCAACTTTGAGAAGTAACGAAAAGCGTAAAAGGCTTTCTATGGCCATTTAGACCATTTCTTAAAAAAAAATCATTTTGGGTTAGTGTTATATTCAAAAAATGTTTCATTTCGACGTTTGGTAACTGTTGGTTTGTACTTTTCTCAAGACGAAAATTGATGTAATACTTTCCGTCGCGATCTCAATATTTCCTTTTAAAAACTCAACTAAGATGGCTTTTTAATAAACTAACTTGTTTGCAGAACGAGAGGGAACAAATATATCCCGCTATAGGGAGATACATAATTAATTTTGTTTTGCAAGCGCTTCCGAGCTCGAGACGCGCGAGAGAGATGGAGAATCTTCTTACAGAAGTTTCCATTTTAAAGTTGCTCTCATCCGCGTACCAAAAGGGTTAAGATGACGCTGAATAAACAATAAGACGAGTCTCGAGCGCTTCCTTAATTAATAAACTTCTACTAATGAAAGAAATAATTAATTTCTGCCTACCACCGAATCGGCTCGACGCCGTTTTAAACAAAGCGTCTTGAAACTTTTCGTTCTTTGTTTAATATTTCACGTCGTACGTAAAATGAGTTTCGAAACACAAAGAGATACCGTCCGCGTATTAAATATAATATTAAAATTGCAAATTTAATGATTTTTGTTTACAAAATTATGTGATTTAATTTTCGGTGCTTTCGCCATATCGTGCAGAAACCCGTCACACATTTAATATAATAAATACATAAATGTGTGACGGGTTTCTGCACGATATGACGAAAGCGCCGAAAATTATGGAATTGGCATAATTATAACATTTTTTATTTGACGTTTCGGTCCAGAATAAAATATTCTAGACAGTTAGGGTCATAGCGGGGGAGCATTATATTATATCCCAATTATCAAAATTGTTGGTCATGTACCCTTGCGTGAAACAATCCAAAATAAAATGTATATAAAACGACTCACACACATTTAAACAGTGGTTCACAAAACAATCAACACGAGGGAGGTAGAAACACATCGAATTAAAATAAATAAAGTTGTTCTTTTTTTTCCCTTTCGACTGGGTTCCAAGGTTGCGTCCCGTTTAGCACTCCTAAACGGATTGAATTGTTTCACACAAGGGTACATTATTCTGAGGAAGGTGACATTTGGACCAAAACGTCAACTAAAAATGTAGTATTCTAATTTTGCCAATTCCATAACCATTTGTAATTTTTGGAGATTATGTTTAATTGGTTTTGTTCTTTTGGAATTGCGTTTACTAATAATAGTAATTATTTAGTAAACATGAGACATTTTTAACAAATTTCTGGAAGTCAATGAAATTTAATGTTTTACTGTTATATGACGCTAATTATAATTGAGTTTCATGGAATGCGGTAAAAAACAAACAACCTTGTTTTCCATTTATTTTAAAAGTTGGTATTACTGAGTTGACCAAAATTAGTGAAAAATTGAAGAAAAAGTTGGCTTGTCATTTCAATAGGTATATGTTTTTGGGCAATTTAAACCATTTATTGAATATATTACATTTGATTTCTTTTTAATTGAAATTTTACTTGTTAATGGAATAAAAATTGCTTTTATTAATTTGTAAGATTTACGACAAACTGTGATATCATATTTAGAAAGAATATGATTTATTTTTTGTAATAAATTATTTATATATGGCATTGCAATATATTTCTGATTAATTGTATTCTCTTTTAAAATTTTTGTTTTATTATAAAACATGTAGGCTCGCTATGTGAAAACGTTATTAATAATATTTTTCTACTTCCATCTGTAAAATGCCTAATTACCATGAATCCGAGCCACTTCGGACATTTCCGGGATTTTACTGTACGGATTTGGGAGCAATCGGATGTCTTCGGAGGTATTTCTCACGCCTTGAATTTTGACGTTTGTCAATTCTGAAGATCATGTCAGTGAATGTATTCGTGTTGTTTAGCGAAAATGTACCCAAAAACTAACGGTCGTAGAAAAAGTATAGTACGCAACACGGTAAACTTTTTAAGTCACTCGTTTATTAAACAATCCCTCCGCTCGTGTCAAATAAACTCGGGAGTTAAATGCTGTTTACCGCACTTGTTGCATAATATACTATTTCAGACGAATGGTTTTGAGTTAAAATTTGTTTGACTGGATAAAATGTCTGCACTATATACTAGTGATGTTAGTTCAGCACAATTTGTTAAAACAATAATAGCATTATTTAAATTTTTAGGGTGATTAGACTTATAAGTTAGATAAATTCCTGGCCATGTATCTTTTGCATACTATTTTGTTTTTATGTTATTATTAAGTTACAGTTAAGTTACGAAAATTTATTTTTTTAATCTTTTTTGCCATTTCAATAGTGAATTGCAATTTAGAAGGAGAATTACTAAAACCATTAAGAATATCACTAACACGATTTTTATCATATTAAATTGAAAATTATATTAAAATTTAATTTCTTTAAAAAAACATTCTTCCAATATTCCATCCACCGTCAATGAAAGTGGAGAGCCCATAGCACATCCATTGAATTGTTGGTAAAAGTTTGTTAATTTAGGTTAGGTTAAGTGCTTCTATAAAATCTTTTGTTGTTATAATTTCATTGGAATATTAGTAGCATATAATTTTCTGAAAATTTGATGGTGTCTATTAATTGTTATTAAAAAGAATCATTAATAAAATACTGATACAGTTTGATAGGTATTTAGATAATGTTAAATTAATTTAATTTTACAAAATTGTGATTTTTAGTTCGATTTTTTAGTTTTGTCAATAAGTAGCTTATTTATTTCAGAATCATAGTCCTCAGAATTAGTAATTACAATTTTATTTTATTTATCAGATTATTTTTTAAATTTCTATCGTTAAATGTTAAATTTACAATCCAAATTACGTATTTAAATACACTGCAAATGCAATTGTAGTAGCAATTAAATGCAGTTTAAAAAATTATATTTGAAATACATTCGATTACTTTGACGGAAAAGTATTTGTATTTGTATTAAAATACTTTAAAAAATTTTTTTTGACAACTCTGTATATAATAAACTAGTGCTTAACGCGGTAAATCGGGGTTAATGAGACATTAGTAGTAACTCAAGTAAAAATTCTGTCCACAATTTAACTTTTTTTGAGTGTCAAGTTCTCTCGTTCACATTTTAGGTTAGGATAAAGATATTGAGGCGCGGTTTCTACCGGTCCGGCCCCCGTCTATCTATCGACGCAAATAAGTAACGTAAATTAACCCACAGAATTCTATCGACCCACGGCATTAATAAAAAATGAATTTTCTTTTATCGGCTCCTATCAAAGTATTAAAAATCGATTATTTAACGTTACGTCGGTTGGTGGGTAAACGCGGGGAAGGGGGGGTCCGTTAAGGTCGCTACGGTGGTGGGGGTAGCAGCGGGGGACTACGTATTTGATTGATGAGTACATTTGTTTGGACAAGTACACTGCGGGGCTTGGACGCAGGCCGGACTCGAGTGTTTGCACAGGGTGGGGGTGGCTCGAAATGCAGCACCGGCACCCCTTTATAAGGGGGGGTGGCCCCACTGCGTCGAGAAGTTGACGGCGAGCGATATGCATTTCGTCAGACAATCGAGATCAAGGGAGCGAACCCACTTCATAAATGCAAATGCGTAGCGCCGTTGCCCGTATATGAATAATTATTTTACGAAAACTGGCGCATCAACCAACCTGTTCCATTGTACGGATAAATCAGAGATGGAAATAGATGGTCAACTGCAGAAGAAACAAATCACTATTACTGTGCTGTCAGAGTGATCGGAGCTTGAAGTAATTTACTTATAGAGGCGAAAACTTTGAGAGAATCTGATTTCTAGTCCGACGCCTTAAGCGACAAGCCATTTGAAAGTCAAATTATTTCGGATGTATATTTATATTATAATATACTGGCATCATTTTTTCAAGACTCCATTATTAACATTGGTAAAAAAGTCATCAAATGAGTAATAGGCCCCATACAGCAGAAGTGATTTGACCTTAATAGAGAATTGTCTCTCCGGCAGTTCTCTGACGCTTAGAGGCAATAGATTGAAGAATTTGGGTCCATAATAGTTCTTATAATTTGTAGTCTTTGCAATTCTTGAGTAGTTAATCACCATATCAATTCTGTTTCTGGTGAGATAGTGGCAGACATTAATATGAAGAGGATCCTGGTTGTTTTTAGTATACTTTAATGCCGAATAAATATAATTACATGCAACAGTTAATATTTGGAGATCTTTAA